GTGCGTGCGTGTGTCTGTGTGTGTGCTTCTCAGTGTGCTTGTGTGTTTGTGTTTGTCTCTGTGTTCGTGTGTGTGTGTGTGTGTGTGTGTGTCTGTGTGTGCTTGTGCTTGTGTGTGTGTGTGTGTAACTCCTGGCCGCGGCCAGGAGCGCGCACAGCGTGCCAGCGCCCAGGCCGTTCCCGGCCAGGCACGGCGGTGGTGCGGGTGCCTTCTGTCGAGGATTAGGTCGGGCCCGTCCCCCTGCAGGGTTTTTTTGGGGGGCGAGAAGCATAAGCAATGCCAAGACGTGCCCCGGAAATATCCAAGAGCAGGCGAGGAATCGTCCCCGGACCACTTCTTGACTGTCCGTGACCCCTTCCTCCTGCAGAGGGACGGGCCCGACTCCAGTCGAGGACGGGGCGGCCGCGGGCGGAGGCGAGCGCTCCGGCCCGCCCAGCGGCCGAGGCCAGCGCGCGAGCGCGGGCGGGGCCGGCGCGCAGAGCCTCTCCGCGCCCGCGGGGCGGCCCTCGATCGGCCGCGTCCTCGACAAGCTCGCGGGCACCTGACGAAGAAAAATCAGGAGGGAACAAAAGCACACAGGCACAATTCATCCTCGATCCCCCAGAAGATATGGGAAAATATGGGAAGTGTGGGGGGAGACAGAAACCCAGAATATATAGGAACATATTGGGAATATTGAATCGCTTCGCTCATTCCGCCGGCCCATACGGTCTCATGTCTGCCGTTTGCCCGAGGGCCTGGTGTCAATGCGGCGCTTTGGGGGTTCCTGGGGCCGCTTGGGGGACTCCTGGGGCGCTCGGGGGGGCATTTGGGGGGCCTCCTGGGGCCGCTTGGGGGACTCTTGGGGGCCTCCTGAGGGCCTCGTGGGGGCCTTCTTGGGGCCTCTTAGGGGCCTCTTGGGGCCTCGTAGGGGCTTCTTAGGGCCGAGGGCGCGAAATTTTGTTTCGTGTTCCCTCTCTGGGGCCCCTTTGGGGGTGTTCTTGGGGCCCTCTTGGACCGTCTTGGAGGCTTCTTGGGCCGTCTTCGAGCCCTCTTGGGCCATCTTGGGGCCCTCTTGGGGGCCTCTTGGGCATATATAGGAACATATTGGGAATATTTTTATTTGTGTGGATTTATCTGTGTGTCCTGGGGCCCCTTCAAAAAAGTCGGGGCTGGACAGACCTCCTACCCCGACACGTGGATTCGCGAATTGGCCGTTTTCGGATCGCGAGAGGGCGTCGCGGCCGTCCTTGTTGCGGGTCCAGGTCAGTCGGTTTCGGTCCCAGGCCGTTTTCACTAAGGGGAGGTTTGCTAAAGCGAGGTTTGTTCCCCGCCCACACAGGCATAAACGTTTGGCGCTCCGCGCGGGTTTCTTGGATTCGCGCTGGATCCCCCTCCCTGGCGCGCGGAGCGCGCCAGGGGCGGCGCTGGTGGCGCCGCCGGGGGGCCCAGGCGCGGATCCAAGAAATCCGCGCGGAGCGCCAACAGTTTATCTTTATGTGTTTTTGTTCGTCGTCTAGGCACGCCCTCCGCTGGAGTGGCCGCGCTCCTCGGCGACCAGGAGGCGCGATCAGGGGCAGCGGCAACAGGAGGGGTGGGGGGGACGGGCACAGGCGGGGGCGGGGGATGTTCGAGAGTTCTCTTGGCTCTTTTCCTCGGCTTCTTGGCCGTGTCCCAGCCTCGGGATGCTTTCCGGCAGCTGCGCCTCGTCGAGGGTGTTCTGGGAGTGCCGGAGTCTTTCCGAACCGCCGCCGGAGAGCCGTGTTCCGTTCCGAAAACCATGAGGCACCGACATGGAGGGGGATAGGCATATGGGGGGGACGCATCGGCCCCCAACCGCCCATGGATCGTCGATAGGGGCCCGATAGCCACACCCTGCCCAGGAACGTGCGGATTCGCTATCGGGGGCCTGTCCCAGATCTTTCGGTGATGCATCGCCGATTCCAGGTCGATGTTTCCCCCCGATGCCAGTCCTCCCGTATCGTTGCCCCTCACGCAAGGGCCGCCGCGAGGGCGCGAAGTCATTCGCGTCCTCGCAGCTCGCGATTCCGCACCCTCCTCCGCTTCTCCCTGGGCGGGGGTCGGCGCAAGAGCGCGAAGTTGTTCGCGCTTGTGCTCAGCGCAAAGGGTCAACATAGCTGTCTTTGAGGAGGCGCGTGCGCGACACGTCGTAGTCGTCGGTTTCGTCGTCGCAGAGGGACCCGGATCTCTTGCGGTATGTTTTTATTTGTCTGGGCGGTTTCTTCGATCTTGGCATCCTGGGCACACTCTCGGGCTCTGCGCTTCTCAGGAGTGGATCGGAGGTGAGAAGCTGGCCGCGGGGAAGGGGTCAGGCTGGGACCTCTGCGGGTCTGCGCACTGAAAAGATCACATCGGGAAGCGTCCAAGGGTGAGCGCACACGGGGGTAATGGGAGGGGGAAGGCTTCTTAGAAGGAGGCCGCTTCTTAGAAGTCGCGGCCCGTGTTATTATTTGTAGTATGATTAGTATTCGTATTGTTATGTTTTATTCGTATCAGTATCACTATTATTAGCCGTGTTGGTTTCACACTAAGAATAACAGGTATTATCCGTAAGGGCTTCGCTCCCTGCCGCCGGCCCCCTCTCTATCAGAATGGGATACATCAGAGCTATATTGGGATGTTCGGGCGCCGTCTTGATGACATTCGGGAACGTCATGCTAGGGCGGCTGGCGATGAACAAAACATATTGAGATGTTGAAGTTGTTGTTGAACGCTTTGTTGCCTTCTTGGCATTTTCCTCCAGTTGTTCACTGGAAGCGCTCTGGGAACGGCTGGGGATTGCTTCAGGCAATCTCTGGGAAGGTTGTTTTTTCTGCTCTGGAGAAGGAGTGGCGCCTTTGGGCAGCTTCCGCGAGGTGGATTCGTGGCGTGGGGGGTGCGCGCGAATTTGGTGTAATTTGGAAGGATCGTGGCCTCGGGGACGCAAATGCGGCGTAATTTAAAAGGGATCGTGGCCTGGGGGGCGCGACAGCGGCGTAATTTACGAGGGATCGTTGCCTCGGGGGCGCGAATGTGGCGGAATTCACGCGGGATCGTGGCCTCGCGGGCGCAAATGTGGCGTAACTTACGAGCAATGTGGAACCCACCGCCGAATTCTCCAGAAACGGGGGAGGGGGGCAACAGAATACCAGCGGAGCACATATCCCACTACAGAACATGTCCGTTCTTCTGCTTTGGAAAGGGGGAGCGCCTTTTCGGCAGCCTCCGCAAGGCGGATTCGTGGCCTCGGGGGCGCGCCCGCTGCGTAAGTTACGAAGGATCGTGGCGTCAGGGGCGCGACTTTGTTGTAATTTACCAAGGATTGTTGCCTCTGGGGCGCGACAATTATGTAAATTACATGGGATCGTGGCTTCGGGGGCGCGAACGTAGAGTAAATTACAAGGGATCGTGGCCTCGAGGGCGCGAATGCGGAGTAATTTGCGAGGGATCGTGGCCTCGGGGGCGCGAATACAGAGTAATTTGCGAGGGATTATGTATTGGGGGGCACGAGACTAATGTATCAGAAATTCTGAGAATCCTCCCTGGGGACGCTAACCAGGGTCCTTTTCGGCTCCCCCCCTCGCGCGGGCAGTAACAATTTACAGTAGGAAGCGGAAAACAGTATTGTTACAATGGAAACTGGAACCTGGAATTGGTGCAGGGAGCAGCAACCTTAATCCTCGCAGCCTGATGACCCGGCAAGGGGTCCGGCGGACTTGTATGGCTATTTGTTTTATGCCTATTAGTATACTTCTTCTTACAATAGTATTGCAAGTTCTATTATTATTATCATCATTATTATTATCATCGCTTGCATATGATAAGGCTGGTGCCAGCTAAGAAGCAGCCTCCTTCTTCGAAGCCTTTCCCCCTCCCGCTACCTCCTTGCGAGCGCTGCCAAAAAGGATGAGCGAAGGATAGGGGGAGTGTGGGAGGGGTTACGGCATGACGAAAATAGGTCCCCTGGAGGTGTTTCGCCCTTCTCGAGCTTCTGGTGACGACCACGGACCCCGCGAGCGTCAAGACACGGCTCAGGATGAAGAGCTGGTCTTGGGCAGCCCCCCGGCCGGGGCCCAGGCCCCGTGTTCCTCAGGACACCTTGTTCTCGTGATCAGGGAGGGGGCGAGAGGAGGAAATATGAGAAATGAGGTTGAAAAGGCTGGCGGAAATAGGAGTAGAGGAGGGAGTAGGGAGGAGGGAAGAGGAAGGAGGAGGAAGAGGAGGAGGAGGAGGAGGAGGAGGGGAAGTCCCTGGGGTCCTCGGAGGCCCCAGGAGGCCCCCCAGGAGGCCCCGAGAATAATGCCTCACCCGCTCCAGAGGTGGAGAGGGATAATGATGAGGACGGGGGGCGGGAGGAGTTCGGGGAGGTCATTGCACAAGAGGAGCCAGGCCCGAGCAGACCATCACGCACCAAGGCCACGACGACGACCACGACGACGACGGAGACGAGGCGCGCCTGCGGTCCGCACCGACTCACGGACTTGGGAAACAAAGAGCCCACCTTGCGCAAGGTTTTGTGCACGGCACATCGTTGAGATGTGCTGCGGCAGGAGGGGGGGAGGGCTGCGAAGACGCGGAGGAGGACTCCAATCGAGGAAGGGGGGAGTGGGAGGTCTCGAGGTGCTCTGGGACACCTTACTTTGATCCTGTTAGTGGGCCCAGTTCCTCGGTGTCACCGCCCACGAAAAGCACGGTGTACGCAGGCGGCCATCGTGGTTGACATTTCAGGTTTTGTGGCAGCACGCCTTGCAACGGCGGTATGACGTATGACTGGCCGAGGGCCATCTGAGCAGGCCAGGCATGATGTCACACACGTGGCACTGAAAGCTGCACGTGGTGTCCTCGGGCGGAAGTTTGTAAGGGACTCGAAGCACGCACTCTGTGTGGCTATCATCTGTGGGGAGGAGTCGGGGGAGGGGGGATGCTGATGATGATGGTGCTGATGCTGATGCTGAAGCTGCTGCTGATAGTGATGATGCTGATCTGATTGATGATGATGGTAATGGTGGTGGTGATGAGGATGTTGCTGCTGCTGATGATGATGATGGCGACGATGCTGACAACGATGACGACAGCGACGACGACGATGATAATGATGTTGATGCTGCTGATGATGGTATTGCTGGTGATGAGGATTATGGCCAACATGTTGATGCTGGTGATTATGATGAGTATGCGTATGCGTATGTGGATGATGCTGATGATGATGGTGATGATGACGATGCTGATGATTATGATGCTGCTGATTATGATGATGGTGTTGGTGATGCTGATGGTGATGGTGATAATGACGATGATCATGATGCCGAGGATTATGATGATGGTGATGGCGATGGTGATGGTGATGATGACGGTGATGATGATGATGCTGCTGATGTTGCTGGTGATGATGCTGGTGATGATACTGATGTTAATGCTGATGTTGTTGCTGATGATGCTGCTGCTGCTGCTAATTATGATGCTGATGCTGATGATGCTGCTGCTGGTGATTATGATGATGGTGGTGGTGACAACGACGACGACGACGACGACGAGGAGGAGGTGGTGGAGGAGGAGGAGGAGGAGGAGGAGGAGGAGGAGGAGGCAGAGGAGGAGGCCGACCGACAGGCCGACCTGGCGAAGAGGAGGTCGGTGCTGGCCGTCGAGGCGTGGCAGGACCGCGAGGACGATGCCGCCCCGCTTCTGGACGCGCTGACCGTGAATTGGAAGAAGTTCGGTGTCGAGGGCAGGCCCCTGGGTCCCCCAGAATCCGGGAAACGTGAGGGTCGAGTAAGCCGGGGATCTGGTTCGCCAACGTGTTTCGACGAGAGCATTCTGGATTTTGACGGTCCAGTTTTCGTGGGATATTTGCAGCAGGAGCTCGCGTCAAGGTTTAGATTTGGTCTCGCCATTTTTATGATGGCCCCGTCAGGCCAACCCGAGTCCCCCGCACCTGAGTTTTACGCCTCCCCGATAGAAGTTTTCAGCCGTGCTGAGGTTTCGCGACGCGAGGCCATTTTTCCTCGACGGGGATTTCTCCATAGCCACCGCCTGGGGGTTCGATCCTCGTGGACCTCCACAGGCGGTGGATATGGATATATTCGGCCCCCCAGGGGCCAACATATATCCGATCTACCGCCCGCTGTGGCAGCAGGACGTCGGCTCCCAGGCGGTGGATGTGGATAAATCCCTCGCAGACGCACAGCTGGAGCGAGGATCAAGGACAGCCTTGGCTCTGGAGGGGTACCCTTAGGTTTTGCGTCTTTAGCTCTCCACCTTCGAATGGCAGCTAGCAGCTCGCCCATCTGCCAGCAGCTCGGCGCCCTCCCTTCATATGGGCCAGCTTTCACTGACCAGGGCGCGACTCGACTCGACTCGACCTCCGAGCGGCCTTCTTCTGGCGCGTCTCCACGGGGTCTTGGGCTCTCGGCGCCGGGGCTCGTGTTCTTGCTGGGCGTTCTTCTGCCCATGCTTCGACTGCACCTCGCATTCGTCCGACCCGGCTGTTGGGAGGCGTCCTCGCGTCAGCGGCACTGTAACAGGTTTTCATTAACGGGTACTTTGGCACATTGCCGAAAGTTGCTACTTTAAGGCCTCTTTCTGGCATTGCAGCGCTGCCAACATGGGGAGGATTGGGTTCGCCGGGTCACTGGCCAAAGTACCCATTAGTGGGGTCCCCGTGAAAGGGGCGTTGATCGCGTCTTGCAGCCAAACAAATGTATTGGAAGTTACGCGTTACGCAGAGCCGTCCCTGAATAGCCGGGCTGGACGAGGGCGGGCTCTTGTGGACATCCCCGCGGCGCGGAACAATAAAACGGCCGCCAGTTCTTGGCAAGTTTCGGCAGTTGGGGGCCTAGCGCTGATCCGTCGGCGATGTATCGCTGATTCTTGCTCGATGCCCCCCCCCCCTTTCAGTAGTCGGCGGCGCGCCTGAGGGGGAAGAAAGAAGGGGCGGACCCTCTCTGGCGGCTCGGAGGGTCTCGGGCCTTCTGAGAAGTTGTTTAGCTTGACCCGCAGACGCAGACAGCTTCTCAGAAAGGCCGGAGGGTTTCTAAGAAGCCCCGCCGCCTTCTTAGAAGGCCTTCTTCTTCTTCTTCTTACGTATCCCCGAGGTTCGCCGCCGAGGCAAGTTCATCCTTATCATCTTCACCACCACCACCACCATCATTATTACCATCATCATCATCATCATCATCATCATCATCATCATCATCACCATCATCATCATCATCATCATCTTCATCATCATCATCATCATCTTCATCATCATCATCAGCATCATCATCATTCTCATCATTATCATCATTATCATCAGCATCAGCATCATCATCATCATCAGCATCATCATCATCACCACCATCATCATCGTCAACATCAGCATCAGCATCAGCATCAGCATCATCATCATCATCATCATCATCATCATCATCATCATTTCCATCATCAAACTCATCAGAGTCATCGTCAGCTTCATCATCAGCATCATCATCAGCATCATCATCACCATCATCATCACCATCATCATCCTCGTCCTCGTCCTCGGCCCCGTCCCCCATCCTCGTCCTCTTCATCGTCCTCCTCTCCACCAGTGGGGGTCCCCCCTGTTGCCTTGCCCGGAAGAATACTCGACCTCATCGACCTCCGCGCGGACGTGCGCGGGCGCCTGCGGGCGCCTTGGGACCCCGTGTTCCCGGACTTCGAGCAGACGGCGGGCGCAACGCCGCTCTCGGGGGGCGCCCACAGGAGGAAGAGGAGGAGGAGGAGGAGGAGGAGGGGGAGGAGGACGAGGAGGACGAGGAGGACGAGGAGGACGAGGACGAGGACGAGGACGAGGACGAGGACCAGGAGGACTGGGAGGACTACGAAGACTAGGAGGAGGAGGAGGAGGAGGAGGAGGAGGAGGAGGAGGAGGAGGAGGAGGAGGAGAGTTGCGAGGAGGGGAGGGGAGGGGAGGGGGAGGGGGAGGGGGAGGGGGAGGTGGAACTCGAGTCTCAGTCTTCAAGCCAAGGTAGCACATCTCATGTATCTCTGCTCTCGCTACCTTTACATGTGCAAGACAACAACCGTCCCTTTCATATGACGATGTTAATGAACGACCATCAGATTCCGCTTCCACCCTCTTATACGTAGCTGGAGCGTGGTGTCCACGGACCTTTGGTATCACAATCCACCCGGAGGTTCTATCATCATTTTGCTTTTTCGCAGTACGTAAGAAATCCCAAGAGTGAAATCACATCATCATACAGCTCTAAGGATTCGCCAAAGCCGTAGGGGGCTGTGGTCAATTCGTTCTTACGCATATATTGTTCTGTATAGGTTGCTGCGCGTCGTACCCCGCGGCGTAGTCGTATGCTTCGGTCCTCCAACGCAATCTTCCATTATCCAGTTGTCAAGAACCGCATACATACTTGCATTCACATCTTTTTGGTGAGCTGGTCTGCATGGGTGATTTTCCGAACTCGTCGTGTCAGTCCATCTTCTCGTAGAGCAAGAACTCTAAATTGATGTTGGCTATCGTTCGGTAGTGTCTTGGAGAACCATATGGGCTTTAAGGGATACAGCGTCTGCGCACACGTCCACAGGAAGCATGTGTTGAGACCTCATACGGACTTACAACAAGTTGTGCAGTTCGAGCCTGCTATCCGACCAGCAGGCATTCCAGTTTTGTAATCCGTGATGCGACCATGTTCGCCATAACTACACATGTATTGCTGGACTCGCTTCATGATGAACTGTCGAGCTGGAAACCGCTGAGTTTTCTCTAGTATGTAATCGAATGACAGGCAACGCTTCGAACATCTGATTTGGTTCAACATAGCACTGCTCTTGCGCTCCCTGGCGCAATGCTCGAATATCTTTAGCCAAAAGTGCGACACGTGTTTCTTGGGGATCAACTGATGATCTTGTAACATGGCCACGTTTGTCACTTAAACGAGTACCCGATGAGGCCCGATGTACATGCGATGTAAACCATTCGTATCATGATGAGAAAGAACGTTATCGATTGTGCCATTCAGCTGCTTTACGTGAATACCTTCCGTGTTGACCATCTCCGTCTGAAGTAACTATCGTTTGCCAGATGGCAGAACGTGTCTTCGTTAGCCATAACATACTCCTCAGACGCGATCGAAACGAGTGGTGGTCATTGTCGCACAGCTCGGCCGTGCCCGCGGTCTTCTCAACACGCGTCATGGGTTTCAGCCGCTTGAGAGAAGGTCGCAGGTGCAGGGAGACGTGTCTTTCGGTGATATGTTTTATACACTGGCTCCACAGTGAGCTCCTGCGCATGTTGTCCAGTCACGCAGGCATGCACTTCCTCGGGTTTCAGCAGGCAGCCCGCCGGCATTGGAGAGAGGGCCGTTTCAACAACATTTGGACCGAGCTGATAAGTAAGGTAGATGTTGTCTACAACGCCATGCGCCACATCACCAGCCCTGGGGCACACCAGTTCCTCGAGCTCGTCGCCAGCTCCTTGGGCAGCACCGAGGACCAGATGTCGCGAGCCATACCTTGCTATTTGACATCTCGTCGGCGATTGGACAGAGTTAATTGGTTTGGATTGGATGGCGACACTGGGCCAGTTTCAGTCACGGAAAGGCTGGGCGATCACAAGAGTATCTTACTTGAGCTGGGAGCAGATGTCTTAAATCTGCCCCGCGTGGAGACGCGCGGCAGCGTGGACTATGCCGCGCAGAAGCTGAAGACCGCTCAGTACATGCACCAGTCAGAGTCACCCCCTGTCCTGATAAAGTGCGTCGGCGCGAACGTCGAGCACCAAAGGGGGGATCCGTTTGAGGACATGGAGGTCGCGCGCAACCAGGGCCGGAAAGAGGGCGCGGCAAGCTGCATGGATAAGGTCGAGATTTCGGTAACTGGCGTGGCCAGCGCATCCCAGAAGAGCGAGTCCACCGAGGTCTCGGATGACAGCTTCCACGCGGGCCCCTTGGCGGCAGGGGAGTCGACGACGCAGTCTGAGGCGGGCAATCTCGCCGTCGGCAGCGAGGCCCTCAACAAGAAGCTCATCAGCAGAGCTTCAACTAGCAGCAGTAGCAGCAGCGCCGCACAAGTCTCGCAAAGAGCGCTGGAGTTAGAAGCGCAAATGGGAGCGATGTCCAGAAAGCTCGCCAGGGCACGCAGGTTTCAGACTCCCCCACTGCAGGCGATGAAAGTACAGACGCAGAAGGGGGAGAGCAGCGAGCGAGTCGTGCACCTCTCTCTGTGGACCTCTCCCCCGCCACCTCCATGGCTATATCCTTCCCGTGGCCCCTTCTGCCCTTCCCATCTTCAACAAAATGCAGCGCGCCACTCCCAGCTAAATCTGCATTTTCTCTCTGTTGTGGAATGAAGGGAGGGGCCGCAGGGGCGGGGGCGAGGGGCTGGGAGAGGAACCAAGGAGAGCGCGCAGAGGCCGCTGTCCGAAAATACGTTGCGGGCCGAGGCACGCTCGAGGCGCAGCGAGAGCCTCCACATTGCGTGAGCAATTGCCAATGCCCACGTCCATATCCATTTCCATATCCATATGCGTCTACAGCAGAATGCAGCGTGCCACTCGCAGCTGAATCTAGCATGCCACTCGCAGCTAGCATTTCTGTCGTGGAGATACGGGGCGGGCGGGGACTCTTCGAAGGAGGGTCGGGGCGAGGAGTTGGAGGAGGTTCGGAGGAGAGTGGCCCGAAGCGAAGGCACTAGCGCTGACCCGCCAGTGGCGGGAGACTTGCGAGCGGGGAGGCGCCGCGGCCGAGAGGCCCAGCTTCGCGCCCTTCAGGGGGTGCCCAGCGGAGCTTCAGTTGGATAACGGGGGACTGCTAGGAGGCATCTGGCATGGGTACTCCTTCCCATCCCCTCCGCGCCGCGCCAGCGAAGCGCAGGGGCGCAGAATCTGGGGTCGGGCACATCCGGTCTCCACCCTGTCCTTTTTCCTTGTTGCGTTCGTTCGTTCGTTCGGTCGGTTTTTTTTTTTTCTCTCTCTCTCTCTCTCTTTCTCTCTCTCTCTCTCTCTCTCTCTCTCCGTTTCTTTGGTTTTTTGTTTTTTTTGTTTTTATCTCTCTCTCTCTCTCTCTTTCTCTCTTTCTCTCTCTCTCTCTCTTTCTCTCTCTCTCTCTCTCTTCTCTTTCTTTCTTCTTCTCTTCTTTTGAGGTCTCCTTGAGCGCGCGCGCCGACGCTTAGCCTGCGGGTTTCACTTGGGCTGTCCGTTCGGAACATCCTGTTTGCTGCGGGCGCTGACCAGTGGAAACCCAAGAGGCATCAACGATGTTGGCAGTTACCCCCCCTCCCAGCTCCCTCTTCGTAGGCCCCTACAACGGTTCATTTCCACTGAGGGATTTGCCTCGCTGGAAGACAACAGTTTGAAGATCTTGAAGCGTGCCAACACTTTGTTCTCGGGATTCTAACGCCACGTGTCAATCTGACTGCTGCGTCTTGACGATCCAGACTCGTGCCAAGACGCCATGTTTTGGATTTTTAACAGCGGTTCAACAAAATTGCTGCGCCCGCATAATCCCAAATCCGTCCAAAGCACGATTTCTGGTACACTGATCATGAGATACCGTGGAACGATTGCACATGTTCAAGGCGAATGCGCGCGGCGCTAATGCGAGATCCACATGTTGAACACGAGCCGCCCTTAACCCGTGAAGTTCTTGCAATTGTTTGGCGAGTGTGCGCGGCGCTAAGGCAAAAACCACATTTTGAAAACGGCCCGCCTTCAATCCGTGAAGCACTTACATTTCCCGGATAACGAAAGACGAACGTTCGCGGCGATACAGCGGGAACCACATGTTGAAAAACCACCCGCCCTCAATCCGCGAAGCTCTTTGCAAGTCTTTAGAACGAGCGCGCGCGGCGCTAAGGCGAGAGCGAAATATTGAACACGACCCGCCTTCAATCCGTGAAATTCCGGCAAATATCTAGAACAAATGCGCGCGGCGCTAAGGCGAACGATGCATGTTGAACACCACCAGCCTTCATCTGTGAAACTGCTGCCGCGTTTAAATTTCGTAGTCGTAAGTGGTGGGAGAGTCCCAGGCCCAAAGCCCAGCCGGCCGGGGGAAGTTCTTTATAAAGGGGAAGGAAAAGAGGAGGAGGATGAGACGGAGGAGGAGGAGGAGGAGGAGGAGGAGGAGGAGGAGGAGGAGGAGGAGGAGGAGGAACAATAGGAGGAAACAAACAGAGGAGGAGGAGAAGGAGGAGGAGGAGGACGAGGAGGAGGAGGAGGACGACGAGGAAGAGGAGGAGGAGGAGGGGGGAAGGGAGGAGGAAGAAGAGGGGACGGCAGAGAGGATGGGGGGGAGGGGGGAGGGGAGTAGGAGGAGGTGGAGGTGGAGGTGGAGGTGGTGGTGGTGGAGGCGGTGGACGAGGAGGAGGAGGAAGAGAAGAGGAGGAGGAGGAGGAGGAGGAGGGGAGAGGAGGAGGAGGGAGGAGGGAGCGGAGGTGGAGTGGTGGTGGTGGTGGTGATGGTGCTGGTGGTGGTGGGGGAAGGGGTGGAGGAGGAATAAGAGGAGGAGGAGGAAGGAGGAGGAGGAGGAGGAGAGAAAAGGAGAAGGAGGAGGAGGGGGAGGGGGAACATGAGCAGGAGGAAGGGGAGGAGGGGAGGGATGATGATGATGATGAGGAGGAGGAGGATGTGACTGATGATGCTGATGATGATGATGATGATGATGATGATGATCATCATCATGATGATAGTGATGGTGATGGTGATGGTGATGGTGATGGTGATGATGATGAGGAGGAGGAGGAGGAGGAGGGGGACGAGGAGGGGGACGAGGAGGAGGAGGGGGAGGAGGAGGAGGTGGAGGAGGAGGAGGAATAGGAGGAACAGGAGGAGGAGGAGGAACCATACAATATAAATAACAGTAATAACAGTATGACAACTAAGCAGTATCAAGAATGTTGGTACGAAAGTGAAGACTGGTAATACATTTAAACGAGGACGAAGTTCTACTAATACCGCCAATACCACGAATAATTATGATACTCAGCGCAATGAGACTGCGAATCTTACAACGAATCGTCATAGTAAGCTGAAGACGTATCATACGAACGATATATTTACTTCTACGCGTAATAGTACCACTAACACTTATATATTGGTCGTACGCATAATAACATCGATGCCCATTAGAATTGTGCTATACTAAGGGCAATAAGAAAACGACACAGTACGAGTAGTATTCAGATGCATGATAATACGAACAACAAGAATATGGCAGGAGGAACAGAAGGAGGAGGAGGAGGAGGAGGACGAAGAGGAGGAGGACGAGGTTTAAAGGGAGGAGGAGGAGGAGGAGACGGAGGAACAGGAGGAGATGGTAGAGGAGGAGGAGGCGGATGGAGGAGGGGGAGGAGGAGGAAGAGCAGGAGGAGGAGGTTGAGGAGGAGGAGGAGGACGAGGAGGAGGATGAAGGAGGAAGAGGAGGAGGGAGAGGAGGAGCCCCCCTCCTTTTCCCCACAAATCCCAGAGGTGGGCGCCACGCCGCTGCACCTGGCCGCACGCAGGGGCCTTCTCGAGGTCTCCGCCGCCCTGCTGCGGCGTGAGGCCGACGTCGACGCCCAGAACCAGGCTCGGCGGCGCGCCCCTCTCGGGGAGGGGGGGGAGGACGCCCAGACCCCCTCGATCCTCGATGCTCCTCGACCCTCGATCCTCGATCTTCCTCCCCCCCCCGTCCTCGATGCTCCTCGATCCTCCTCCTTTTCGTCCCCCTCCTCCTCCTTTTCCTTGTCCTCCTCCTCCTCCTACTCATCCATCGTCTCCTCCTCCTCCTCCTCCTCCTCATCCATGTTATCCACCTCCTCCTCCTCCTCCTCCTCCTTTTCCTCTTCCATCTCCTCCACCTCCTCCTCCTCCTCAGGGAGGGAGGAGGATACCCAAACCCCCTCGAATCATGGCAACAATCACGACGGGAGGTTTTCGTATCTTCTGCCTGTGGCAACCCCTACAGGGCCCGGGGACAGTCAGAGAACGATTCGGGATGAACAGCTGGTCGGGACTTCCGATGGTCGACGTCGTGAAACGCCGGAGGTCTGGGAGGAGGTCTGGGAAGGAGGGGGCCCCACGAGATAGTCCCGATCCGCCTGTCGACCTCTCCCTCCTCCTCCTTCTCCCCTCATCGATCCTCGATCCTTCTCATCCTCCTCTTCGTCGTCCTCCTCCTTTTTTTCCTCCTCCCCCGCCTCCTCCTGAGGTGGGGGACGACAAGATGAGGGAACACATCTCCTGTCTTATCGTCATTACCGTCGGCGCACAATGTTTGATGAGCCCAGTTTAAGCCCGAATCCAGCCCGCCTCGAAGAAGAGCTAATTGCGTCACAAGGTTCTGAAGCTCCGCGTGGATCTCGTGGGCCGGCTTGGGTGAACTTGGGTGAAGTTTGGGTGTCGACAGCGATGACGATGGGACTCACTGCGACACCAGGGAAGGCGCGTTTTCTCTAGCCTCGCTCGACGATGGAGCTAGTCGGGGGCGCTGGAGCGCCCGTGCACGCGCCTGAGCCTTGAGCCTCGGAGGAGGGGTGGTAGATTCTGCAGGATTCTACCAAAGTCGGCGGCGAGCCCTGGGGGAAGCGAGAAGGGGCGGGCCTTCTCAGAAGGCTCGGACGGCCTCGGGGCCTTCTGAGAAGTTTCCTGAGCCTTTCCCGAAGACGGGACACACACTTCTGAGAAGGCGCCTGCGCTTCTGAGAGGCCCCGCCGCCTTCTGATAGTTAAGGCCATCTCCTTTCGGGAGGGGGGTGGAGGGAAGGGGCCGAAATCTGGCATAACTTGAGTCAACCAGGTTTACAGAATCCCTTTTGGCCCAGCTTGATCCTGGTTTCAATCTGGGCCAATCTGGCTTCATGCCCCTGAATTGGGCACAGTAACCTTAAGTCGGGCCTGTCTCTCTACAGGGGGAATCTTCAAAAATATGTGAAACATGTTCTGGGGACGATGTTTTGAGTAGTTTTGAATTTTTTGAAGTATGTTTGTAGTTTTGTCAGTTTTCGTCCAAACTCCGCCTGTAGTGGGATAGGCCCGACCTAACAGTAGCCCTTAGTCGGTCTCGCGGAGACCACCTCCTGGGAGGCCACCTCCTGGGAAGTATTTCCTAACCTCCCGCTTCCTCGTTCCTGTCGTCAGCATACGTTTTCCATGTGTACGTCCTGCAAGATGTGGGTGGGTGCTTCCTCCACCTTGCGGGCATTCTCCCAGTTCAGCAGCGGAACAAGAGGAGGTCGTCTGCGCCGACATTTGCGCGCAAGCTGCCCGCGTAAGGTCGCGCGTAAACGCCCTCGTCTCCAATGCAGCGTGCCGCGCTGGCTGCCCGCGTAAGCTGCGGCGTAAGGTCGCCATGTCCTCTCGCGTAAGACCCGCCTTATCTTCGTCGCTCACCTTGCGGGCGTTCTCCCAATCCATTTGCGGGTCTGTGGGACTGAGAGGAGCCCCCCCCGCCGCTCATTTGTCTGGCGGGTTCAGGCATGGGCACTTTGTCCGACCCTCAGGCCCCATGTCCTTCGAGGAGACCCGATTTGTTTCTTTTGAATTGGAGTGGCATTTCGCGGCCCATGTGTGTACGTGTATATAGTGTTTAAATGTAAGTTGCGCGTGCATCTATATATATGTATAGAGTACAATCGAAACCGATGGTAAGGATGGGTCACCTTCCCAAGTGTACCCTTGCGTTCGTGCCTCTTTGGTCCATCCTTGTCTGCTGTCGATGGCCCGCCGCGCTCGAACAACTTCAACACGGGCGTCCAACGGGTTTGCATTGCAATCGCGCATTTTTACTACGATGTCTCACTCAACACGCACATATGTTACCTTAACACACAAGCGCACACAACACACAACACACAACACACAACACTTGCCTACCTACCTACCTACCTACCTACCTACCGACCGACCGACCGACCGACCGACTGACCGACCTACATACATACATACATACATACATAAGTACATCCATACATATATACATACAAACATACTTACATACGGACATACGTTCTTACCTACCTACCTATCTACCCACCTACCTACCTGTCTACCTACCTACCTACCTACATACATACATACACACACATACATACATACACATAGACATACATACATACATACATACCTACATACATGCATGCATACATACATACATACATACAAACAAACACACACTCAAATCAACATACATGCATACATACATACATGCATACATACATACCTACCCACATGCATACCTACATACCTACATACCTTCATACCTACACATACACATACATCTATACATACATACATGTATACACATATTATACCTACATACATACATACATACACACATACGTACATACATACATACATACATACATACATACATGCATGCATGCATGCATACATACATACACACATACATACATGCATACATGCATGCATACATACAAACATACCTACTTACACACATACATACATGCAGACATACATACACACATACATACATACATACATACATGCATGCATGCATACATGCATGCACACACACACATCCATACATACATATATCTATATATATATATATATATATACGCGCAGACACGCATACAAGCATACACACATACACAGACACCCATGCACACATACACACACATACTTATACATATTTATACATACATGTATACATATACATATGTACATATATGTGTATATATACACATACGAGGAGAGGAGCCCCCCTGGCCGCGCTCAGGGACCTCCGCGGCGCCCCGCGGTCCGAAGGCCTTCGCGAGGCGTCCAGAAGGCCTCTGGCCGTCTCCAAGACGCCTCCAAGGAACCCCCACGGGTTCCCGTTGGTCGGCCAGAGCGCCCGATCTTGCAGGATCTTGGAGGGCCAGGGTCGCACTGGCCCAGGTTTGGGTGCAGGATCCTGCAGGATCTTGCAGCATCCCTCGCATTGACCCGGGCTTGGGTGCAGGATCTTGCAGGATCTTGCAAGGCCTGATTGACCCGGGTCTGGGCTGACCCGGGTCAGAAGATCCACGAACAAAATGTCCCGTGAGGGCTCCAAGATGGCCCTCCAAAGGGCCCTGGGAGGCTGAAATCGTCCCATTCCTTTTCGGGAAACGTACACGTTCGGTATGTGCAAGTTGCGGGCTACCCCAGCGTGCGCCACGACCGCAGACGCCGCCAAGACCGCCCCAAAGCAGACCAAAAAGTCCCCAAGAGAGCCCGAAGACGGCCCAAGAGGGCCCCAAGAAGACCCGAGACGGCCCAGGAAGGCCCCTGCAAGCCCCCCCGGGGGGGCCAAAGGAGGCCCCCAGACATCCCAGACGCCGCCAAAACCGGCCCCAAAACAGCTCAATAAGCCCCCTAAGAGAGCCCGAAGACGGCCCCAAGGAGCCCCAAGATGGCCCAGGAAGGCTCCTAGATGCCCCCAGGAAAGTCCAAAGGAGGCCTCCCGACACCCCCAATATAGCCCACGGACGCCAACAGCTCCCAAAGACGGCACAGAACAGCCCCAGGGCGGCCTCAGAGGGCTTCTTACATCGCTCAAAGATGCCCCAAAAGGCTTCCCCAAGGGAGCCCCAACGGAGCCCCAAGACGCTCCCAAAACCGAGCTCCAAGACGCCCCAAACGGCCTGATAATTCCCACCATCCGCATACGTCCCCTACTTCACATACGGCCCATAACTCTTATATGTCCCATAATTTCAATAATTTCCCGAATTCCCACAATCCACATCATTCCCTTTATTATCATAATTCCCATAACTCTCGTCACCCCGGTAAGTCCCGTAATTCCCATACCTCCCACGACCCCAAGTATTCCTATAATGGTTTTTAGAGGTCCGACACAACCCGGAGATGTTCGCGGACGGCTCTATGGAGACATTTTCTGGGATCAACTGTTGCTTCCGTAAACGCGGCCCGAAGAGGTTCCCGAAGATGTGCCCAGAAGGAGTTCTGGGGACAATTTCAACCCCATCCCTCCTCGTCTTTCTCTTCCTCCTCCTTCTCCTCTCCCTCCGTCTGCTCCACCTCCTCCTGCTCATTCTCCCCCTCGTCCCTCTCCTCCTCCTCCTCCTCCTCCTCCTCCTCCTCCTCCTCCTCCTCCTCCTCCTCCTCCTCCTCCTCCTCCTCCTCCCCCCCTGGAGGCAGCCCTGACTATAACCTAAGCGCGCGAAGCGCGTGCGTGGTTCTAGTACATATGTACATATATAGTGATAATAAAGCCTCCTGGTCTCTCCCCGTCCTCGCTCCCGCGCACCACGCCTGGTTAGAGCGAGGCATGGGGACGCGGTAGGCCTGTGACGTCAGCCGTGAGGGCGACGAGCATGGCGCAGGGGCGCACCCGTGTTGCCAGCGTTGTTGCCAGCGCCCTTTCCGATTCCGCCTCCTCGTCGGGGGGGGCGTGCGAGGAGGGAGGGTGCCCGTCTCTCGGGCGGCGGGGGCCCCCTCGGAACTGGATCGGCCTTCTCGGGTGCCACCGAGCTGTCCCTGCGCCCTCCGAGAGGGGACGGGGGCCTGGTCGGACGGGGCCAGGACGAGGACAAATCCGTTCCGGAGCGCCCCAGAAGGCTCTGAGAGGGCCGCGGCGCCCGAGACATCCTCCAGAGCGGCCCGATCTCGGAGATTTCGGACTGATCCTCACCCGATGTTGCCCGCGTCCTGACTTCGTCGGGCCTGGTGAGCGACGGAGAAAACGAGTTCATTTGCGCCGACATTCGCGCGTGATGTGCCCACGTAAGGTCGCGCGTGCGCGCCCTCGTCTCCAATGTGGCGTGCCATCGCGTAAGCCATCGCGTGAAGCCGCTATGCCATATCGCAAAAGAACCTCTTTTCGTCGCTCTGGTGAGTAGGCCGACACCAACCCAAACCACCGCTGTGGGATCAAGCTTCGGGGACCCCAGCAGGCAGTGGATATGGCCATGGATATGGATATAGGATAAACGTGTGTAGATCAACTGTATACGTGTCCTTGGGCGGGGAGGGGCAAGTCTATCCATAGCCACCGCCTGCCGAGGTACCCGAAGATGGATCCCACAGAGGGGCAAGTCTATCCATAGCCACCGCCTGCCGAGGTACCCGAAGAGGTACCCGCCATGTCCACACGCGCCCATGTTGAGTAGATATAGGCCCAATTTGACCTTGCCAGTATCGGATCCTGTGGATAATTGTGCGGCCCCTCCCCACCCCCCGAAGGCTGGCGTCACTCCCCTCATGGTGGCCGTGGCGTTCTCGCGAGTAGAGATCCTCGACTTGCTCATCGAGGCCAGGGCGAGCGTTTCCGCCGCGGACGCGAACGGCATGACTGCCGTCGACTGGGCGGTCCTGGAGGGCGAGGATGGCATGCTCGGCCGCCTCCTCGAGCTGGAGCAGGCCGAGGACGAGAGGAGGTACGAGCTGATCAAGAACTCCAGCATTGTGCTCGGCACGGTGGGCATAGTATCCGCGGCGTCCAAGGCCAGGGCGCGGATCGACGAGGAGGGCGCAAGCGGCGGGCACGCCTCCGGGCCCCCGCCTCCTCCTCGTGCGCAGGGCACTCTTCTACACCGCCGTGCATAGCCAGGGCCACCCGGGGCCACAGGATGGTGTATAGACAATCTTGGCGTCAGCCAGGAGGGCGTATACACCATGCCAGGGCGCAGGATCGCCCTAGCGAGGCACGATGGTGTTGTACGGATGCCCCGCCTGCGTACGTTATGATGCTCCTCCTCCTGCTCCTCCTCCTCCTCCTCCTGAGCACGACTGGTTCTTCTCAGGGCATTCCCAGGGTATTCCTCCTCCTCTTCCTCCTCCTCTGGTGAGGAGGATCGCGAGCAGTTCGCCAAGAGGCACGATGTCGACAGCGACAGCGGTTCCGTGGGGGGGTTTGGGAAGGAGGATTCGGGGGGAGGAAGACACAGGAGGAGGGGGGGGATTTTCATGGTGGTGATGCCGGTAAACATCAGCATTACGCTTAAGTTGACGTCGGCGATGGCACATGAGAAGAGGTATGAGGTGTCTGTGGGAGAGCAGGACGATGATGATGGTGTTGATGATGATGATGAGAAGGAGGATGATGATGATAATGATACATTGGTGGTGAGGATGGTGATCATGGTAATGGTAAGTGTAGTGGTGATGGCGGTGACGATCGTGGAAACACGTGCGGATGACGATGATAATGACGATGACGCTGCTGATGATACTGATGAGGCTGATGATGATACTGATGACGATACCAGTCATGAGGAGGATAAGGATGATGAATATAAGGATAATGAGGCGGATGATGATGATGATGATGATGATGACGATGATGATGATGATGATGATGAATACGATGTTCATATTGATTATGTTGATGTTGATGCTGATGTTGATGCCGATTGTGATGATGAGGACGATCTTGAAGATGAGGATGAGGATGCCGATGAGGATAAGAAGGAGGAGGCTGATGCGGATGCGGAGGCTGATGTGGATGCGGATGCGGATGAGGTTGAGGACAAGGATGATGATGAATACGATGATCAGGAGGATGATAATCATGCTGATGGTGATGATAATGATGACGATGGTGGTTCTGATGCTGATGCTGATGATGATGCTGATGATGAGGAGGAGGATCGTGAGGATGATGATTATATGATTGTCGTAACGATGATGATGCTGATGCTGATGATGGCGATGATGATGATACTGATGCTGATGATGCTGATGATGATGCTGATGCTGATGCTAATACTGATAATGACGATGCTGCTAATGCTGCTGATGATGACGATGAAGATGAGGATGATGCTGCTGATGATGATAGTGATGATGGTGCTGATGCTGCTGATGCTGCGGATGATGATGACGATTATGCTGATGATTATGATGATGAGGATGCTGTTGATGATACTGATTAGGATGAGGGTGGTGATGTTGATTCTGATACGGATGATGATGATGATGATGATGATGCTGATGATGATAATGATTATTATGCTGATTGCGATGATGATGCTGTCGATGATGATGATGGTGATTATGATGATTATGATGATGATGCTGCTGATGAAGATGATGGTGCTACTGATGATGAGGATGATGGTGATGATGCTGATGGTGATGGTGCTGCTGATGATGCGGATGATGATGCTGACGGTGATGGTGAAGGTGATGGTGATGATGGTGATGGTGACGGTGATGGTGGTGAGGGTGATGGTGAGGGTGAGGGTGGTGGTGACAGTGGTGGTGATGCTGCTGCTGTCGCTGATGAGATGGAGAGGGGAACGTCAAGGGCGGATGGTTGAGCCAGGGAGCTATGGGATTAGGGACAGGGAATGGAGAGGAGGGATGAGGCGGTGTGAGCTTGGAGGAGGGGCACTGGACGAGGCCGGAAAAACCAGGCACGGAGAGTTGCATACAGGAATGACCGCCAGAGGCGAACGAGGAGGAGGAGGTGGAGGGGAGGAGGAGGAATGCCTTGTGTTTTTTTCCGGGAGTATCGGGGCGGAGATGCAGGGCGAAGGAGAACGGGAGGAGTGGAAGTGGCGGAGGAGGCCTCAGGAGGCCCACCGTGGTCCCAGGAGGTCCCCAGGGGCCTGCAGAGAAGACGATCGGAGGCCCACAGAGGAACCCAAACGCGATGAAGTCTCGATCCTCCTCCTCCTCCCCCCCCCCCCACACCAGGGGAAGCAGAGGAGGAGGAGGAGGAGGAGGAGGGGGATGAGGAGGAGGATGATGATGATGAGGAGGAGGAGGAGGAGGAGGAGGTGTGTGAATTGCAGTGTACACGCAATGGATTGCTTGCTGCATGGTGTGTGCGTGTTTCTCGCCCACCGGTGCCCGTCTCTCCCCCGCCTGCCGCTTCCGCTCTGGCCCTGACCATTCTTGGCAAGCCTATCAGAGAGGCTCGCGCCCAGGGTTCGCGCGAGGCAGAACGGGATTGCTTCAGGGAAGGATCGGGCAGAAGGATAGGGCAGAAAGGTCGAACACTAGGACGTGCTTCTGCAATTCCAGGTTTCGCATTGGTCTTGAGCCACACGTCGCACTCTTCCAGCGGAGACATGGCAGACGGTGGATCTCATGGTGGACCAGGAGCTGGACAGTGGAGAAGACTGTCTGGCAGAGGGAGCGATGTGGCATCGGAGTACAAGAGCTGGCGGCACTAGATTGGCGCAGACTTGGCGGTGGAGTCGCGATGAGGACTTCAGGTGGAGGCTTTGGGTCCGATGGTGCAGACGCTGCTCGATGACGAAGCCGAGCAGGCCTGCGAGCACTTGGAGCTGGAGGGTCTCGAGAGAGAGAAGGTGGAGCCGAGCTCATCTTCCAGGCGTCAGAGGAGCGGTTCCCGGACAAGGAGGCCAATGACAGGATTTGCGACGCGCTGGAGAGTGTGCTCGGCCTCTCCATTAAGCGCGGTGAGACATCGTCGGCCTACGCTGGGCGAGCGAGAACCATCTTCGCGGAGGCCAAGAAAGAAGGAGTGGAACTTCCAGCTGTGGCGAGATGTTTCCTGCCCCTGAAGGGAGCAAGGCTTGGCATGGAGAGGCGGGCGGTAGTGCTGGCCGCCAGTCAAAGACAGTAGAGTTTTGATGATCTGTCGGCGGCCATCCAGACAGCCTATCCCGAGCAGATGCCGACGACCCAGGTGCACGAAGCCGCTGTCTTGGATGGGATGTCTACTGCGTCGGCCTGGACACCGGCATCACATGCGGAGCCAACTCTAGGGGGTGAGCCCGCAGCAGAGATCAATGAGCTGCTGGAGGACATGGGGCCGATAGGTGAGGAGGACGCGATCAACGCGTTGGCTACGTGGAAGGACCGAGACTAGGTCAGCGATGCTCAAAGAGAAGCTACATTGAGGTTTGCCGAATCGTGATCCAGTCGACCTCAAACGACTGAAAGACAAGGCGCGGTGCTTCTTGTGCAAGAACTTCGGCCGCTCCAGGCGGGGCTGCCCGAATCGCGGGAAGGGCAGCGGCACGAACCAGCAGAGCCATCGGAGACGCCCAGGGTTCGTGTCCAAAGTGTACCAGCAGGGTCAAATAACGATGAGGCAGGAGGCTGTCGCGCAGGTTCTGATGACCCATCTGGCGACTGACGACAAGGATGCGCGGTCGGACGTGGACGCGTTGCTGGCGCCCTGGTCCAAAGACGGGACGCCTAGCCTGATCATGAAGTTGATGACTGAGGAGCGATTCCGTCGGCTGGCCCATGAGCGGCGAGAGGCGGGGCAGAGTGTCGACATGGACGAGATCGACGAGGCGGACGGAGAGGGCGACGGAGATGGCGACACCGTCGAAGCGTGCGCCTGCCATGCTCCAGGATGTGGCGCCCTCGGCTCGGGCCGCGGCATGGCCCTGATCGGTTCCGAGACTCCGGGGGCGCGAGAAGGAGACGGGCCTAAAGGCGGAGCGGGCGGAGTTTGTTCCAGTCATATGGTTCAAGAGCAATGACGAGAAGATCCGGCGGGCACTTCAGGCGCGCTGGATACAGTGGCTCATCCCACAGGCCAAGAAGCAGGCGAATATCTTCGTCTACGCGATTAAAGGCAAGGCCTTGCTCCTAATCAGCCAGCAGGTGATGAGGACGCCCCGGGCGAATTTCAGCATGGGCTACAACCGCCCATGGCTTGGGCGGCTTGGCGCGTCGATTCCTGTTCGGGAAGCGGAGGGGAGCGGGCGCCATGGGTCGGGCCTTCTCGGCCGAGAGTTCGAGAAGAATTTTGGCCTGAACGCGGCGATTGACGACGAGAGGCTGAAGATCGAGCACATGGAGTCGTCTTTTCAGTTGGGCCGGACCGGCGCCCTAAGGTCTCAGAGGGCGTCCATGTTCTCGGCGTGATGGATCAGGTGCCTGGGTTGATGGAGGTATTCTCACCTCCGAGGGCGTGCCCGCTGGTGCCGCAGTGCGGCCGACAGGATCTCGGGTCGTTCGGCGTGGCGACGGGCTGGGGTGCTCGCGCGCCCGAGGACATGCAGGGCTTGCGGGGTCGAGCCGAGATGGAAGCACCGTTCTGCATCATCGTGCCCCCCCCCCCCCCCGCGAGAAGCGAATTGCCCTCCCAAATCTGACTCCAAACGAAAAGTGGACATATCTGAAGCTACAGTTTCGGGAGCATCGGGGGGCGAAGCGGCATGTTTGGGACGTGCCCAGATTGCAGAGTATCAGGTGTCTCGGGGCAGGCGTTTCACTTTCGAGGCCCCACCGACTGCAGCGACCCAGGAGGTCGCGATATATGGAACGACTCCTGCGGAATCCGACGGCGTGCGTGGGTGGGTCGGGCGGGCGCAGAGTGGGTCTCCCACGTCATAGTTTAGGAGCTCTCCTGAGCAAGCGCTGGAAGTCTGTAACGTCGTCACCGGAGGTGGCGAAGCAGCTTCCCCCTCCCCCCATGCCTGGGAGGTCGCGCGCGCGCGGACAGGGGGTGGAAGCCCGCTGCCGGGCTCGGGAGTTTCACTACCCCGCTGGGCCCAGGTATACCCGAGTAAGCTCGCAGACGGATGTCCCAGGGGCTGTAGAGGGCATGCGCGATCCAGGACGGGGGGTGGGAGGTGGGGGCACGCGCTGTTGACGACGGGGGAGGGGGAGAGGGTGCGTGGCCCAGGCGCCCGGAAAGTGTCGGCTGCGCTGCGACGACTCCACGTAAATTTTGGTCGTGCGACGACGGCTGCGACGCTCCGACATTCACGTGCGAATGTGAGCCCCGGGAGTCTCGACGACAACCGGGCATCGCCAGGCACAGCTCGCCTCCGACTCTCCAGCCCCCCGTGAAGGAGCCCCCATACTACGCGCGAGGGGGGCGGCGGCAGTGCTTCAATATCGCGTGCGAGGCGTCATCTCTGCGCGCGATGGCACCCCTCCGACGGGGGGGGGGGGGGGGGCTGAATCGTCTCTCGTTTTACTTCGCGCGGATCGGGGCAAATGGACCTGGCCACTCATGAGGCCCAATTGGCTGAAGGTAGACGCTGCGAGCGCACATGCGACGGGGGAATTCCAGGGTTCGATGGGCCAGGGCGGGGCGATTATTGTGGACGCGGCTGGGGTGGCTCAGGATCAGAATGGATTTTTTGGTGGTAGACGGGTAATTTTCTGAACATCGGATGCAGGTGATGATTCATGTTCAGCCCCAGGACGAAGGTGAATTGCCCGATTGTGTAGCTCAACCCCAGAAAGCAAAGGACTCGATGCTGAGCGTGAATGGAGTTCCCCAGAGTTTGATTGTTCTCGGTCGAAATCCAGAAATGCCAGGGGATTTGCTTCGGGACAACCCGGACCTGGTTGCGAACAGCTGTGTTTTGCATCACTCGGTGGCGGCTCGCGCTGCCAGTGTCGGCGCCATGGCCCGCCGCGTGATTCTCGGGCGCAACGAGAAGAAAGCGGTTCGGATTGCTCTCGGCTCCCGTCCAAGACGGCATCTAGAATTTCAGGCAGGAAAGATGGCTGCAGCATGGCGCAAGATGAAGGGAGCGACTGCTGGGAAACAGTCTTCTCATCGCTGTTGGCCAGGCATTTGCGCAGGGCCTGCCGGGAGAAACTAGTGGGTTGCACTTCCAGGGGGTTCTGGCGACGGCTTCTCCGGAACAGATGCGGGCGGCCACTCGGGAGGAACGCGCTGCTTGGAGGCTGGTGGAATCAGAACTACGCGCGACGACGGTGGATCTGGACAACCTTTCGGGGAGATGCTTCGACGATATCGCGGCGGGCCCCGGGCCTTGATGGGGCCCTTCTAGAGGAAGGGGGGGAGGTGCATGATCGAACTTGGGCTGTCCTGCGACCAGATGAGGGGCATCCGACTCCGGCTGCGCCGACATCGCCGATCGAACCTACTCCGCGAGCGAAACGACTCCAGCGAATGCTCCATCAAGGTTTCCGTTTCCGCATTCTTGCCGCGCGCCGGCCGGAGATCCGGCTCGTCCGACGGGGTCGCGTCGAGTGTTTTTTGGGTCGAAGAAGGGGCGGCTGGCTCGCAGTGCTGGTGTGCCAGCTGGGCATTAGCCTTCAAATCGTCCGCGCCAAGAAGAACCTCTGGGTTTCTCCGACTCCAGCCCTCAATTACAACGACAGTTCGGCTCTTGCTCGGTGGCTGCGCCATTGTTCGACTGTGGAGCGGCCGCGCGCGAGGGGCCCGACGAGGTTCCGAGTTGGGCAGCGACTGGGGTCGAGGTCTTGCTTGCGCGAGGAAGGAAGGAGGAACGCGAGAAATATCGGAGGTGGCGAACGGAGGGGGGGGCGTCGCCAGGTGAACGAGGCGCATCAGAAGGAGCTTCGGAAGCTCATCGTCGATCACAAAGCTTGGAAAGCTCGTGCGGTCGAGGAATCCCGTCGACTCCGCCTGGAAGTACAAGATCGGATGTTATCATCTCACCCAGTATTGAATCTAGAAGCCCAGGACGACGGTGGTGCCGAGTTGCGGTGTAGGTTGACCGCGCAAGGTTTCAAGGGTCCGGGCGTGCTCGAGATGGCCATGGCTGGTAAAGCCAAGTGTCCGACACTGTCTGCGACTGGGAAAGCGACTGTCTTGCAGTTGGTGGCCTCTGCCCGTTTTCCGTTGGTCATGGGAGACATCCGTGGGGCATTGCTGGAGGCCGACCCGGGGGAACGACCGAATGGGCCTGCGTTCGCAGCTGCCCCCAGGAACCATGCACCCAAGGGGCGCCGCCCAGACCAATCCGACGAGCTTGTGAATGGCTACGGTGGCCTTGTCCAGCCACAGCGGTGGTTTCCAACATGTAAGGGCTACGCCGAAGAGGTTGATTTCGTGGTCCATCCTCTCGATCTTCGTTTGTTCATGATTTTCCAGCCTGTGCAGACTGGACAGGCTGTGCCCGCAGTGCTTGTGCGCCGGGGGCTTCGCGTGGGCCGACGGGGATGCGCGTGGACGATGCGGTAGGAGGATGTCGAGGAGATGGGTGGAATGCAGCAGTCAAGAAACTACAACAACGTTTTCCCTGGAGGAAGTGGAGGCGCGGGTCTGGTGAATTGACGGGGCCCCGGTTACAACGGATTCCGGGCGGAATGGCGGTTCACTCCCATTTGAAAATGCAACTGTGTGCTGCGAATGAGAGTAAGGCGTCGCCGCAAGAGGCGTCTGCGCTGATTTCAATGAACCAGGCTGGCAATTGGCTGGCTGGGCAGTCGAGGCCTGATCTCTCGTGCCAGGCAAGCAATAATCAACAATTGCTGCCGCGCCATGACAGTGGAGGAGATGAACAAGGAAGCGGGCATGCTGGTGCGTCGTGCTCGTGGGCATAAGGATTTCACGATGCGGTATTTCTCCATCCCGTTCCAGGACCTCAGTATGATGATTCACATCGATTTCGGCAAGAGTGAAAGCGAGGGTCTCAGGAAGACCCAGGGCGGCAGTATTCTGAGTGCGACGACACTTGGAATGCAGCGGGGACAGATATGACCATGAAATCTTGCGATATGGAGGAATTATCGACAAAAGAGGGCCATGCGATCATCCCCGGGCGGGGGGGGGGCTCTGCACTGGCCAGCGGTTTGGGTCATCCGGGGTGGGTAATGCGCTTATTTTCAGGGGCCGTGCTTCCGCAGCTTACCCTCGAGAATAGGCATGAGTTCCTGAGGTGCTGCCAGGCCGTTGCGATCGTAGTCGCCAAGTCAGGATATAAGCACATCGATAAGATCGCGCCCCCGGGGGCTCCTGAGGATAGGAGGTGCGTGGCGAAGCTCATGATTGCCCGGCAGGCCCTTCAGTGGTTCGGAGGCTGTTTGAGGCGGGGCCGGACATCCTCGACGCTGACCAATGCTCTGACGCAGGGGAAGGCTGACGCCCATGACTTATTGAGAGCATGTGCTCGATCAGGCGTGTATCAATTAGCAGACGAGTCGGCGACCTTGGAATCCGCAGCCGAGAGAGAGCGACGTCGCACCCGTAGGTGATTTTCGCCAAGCAAGCCCGTGAGGGAGACAACGGGGCCCGTGGCCAGTTTTCCATGCCGTCAGATGGTTGGTTTTGCTGCAAGTGGAGGCTCTCAAATTGTCCGCTGTCTTCTGTAGAGTCTGACGGATGCCGAGGCTAGCTGCCCAAAGATGACGAGCTGTGTGGCGGCAACGACGAGGATGACCGTCAAAGTACCTGCCGGTGTGATCGACAGCGGCCTGAAGCAGACGCTGCACTCGAAGATGACCCTGAGCTACAACAACAACGCCAACTACGTTCAGATGATGTGCCTGGCGTCCATTGAGGGTGCGACAGTGAGCCATATGACGGAGCTGGGCGCAATTATCATGACAAGATAGTGAACCACCCATCCTGCAAAATGGAGATGCCCTCTGGAAGCGAGCACCTGAGCAAGGTCATAAGGTTCCCGCCAGGGGAGGTCGAAGTCCAGGGGGCCGCGACGGGAAGCGCAGTCAAGCATGAGGAGAGAATGGCTTCGTCAAGAGCGAGAGGCCGGAGACTCCTCAGGGTGACGCGGCGTACCAGGAAACGATCTTCCTCGCGGCGGTACTGGCTGCGAGGAGCCTGTCCAACTACCTGGACCAGCGGGGCGCTCCGCTGAAGGTGATGAGGGAGTCTTTCGGTCTGGAGCGGACGGAAATGGAGGCGGAGCAGGAATCCTACGACGGTCGTTAGGACTTCGTGAGGCCTGATGACAGACGCCCGATGATGAAGTGTCGGGAGTGAGATCGAGGGCCAGGCAGCAGGCAGCTGTAATTTTGAGCGCATGCGAATTGCAGTGTACATGCACTGGGTTGCCTGCTGCATGGTGTGTGCATGTGTGCTCGCATCCGCGCCTGCCGCTTCCGCTCTGGCCCAGACCAATCTTGGCAAACCTATCAGAGAGCCTCGCGCCCGGGGCTTGCGCGAGGCTGAAAGGGACAGCTTAAGGGAAGGATCGGTCAGAAGGTCAAGCACGAGGGCGTGCTCTGGCACTTCTGGGTTTCGGAGGAGCAGGCGGAGAAGGACGAGGACGAGGACGAGGACGAGGACGAGGACGAGGAGGAAGGCGAAGAAGAGACGGAGGAGAAACAAAAGGAGGAGAAGGAGGAGGAGGAGGAGGAGGTGGAGGGTGTGGAGGAGGGAGGGCAGCCGATCCTGGAAGGCATCAGCGAATTGCCCCGCACCTCGGACGCCGACGGCAGTGCGCGCGTGGGCAGGGGGGCGACGTGGCGCAGCCGCGGCGCGGCCTTGAGGACCCACGTCGGCGAGCATCCGGCCAGCGACGTGGCGGAAAAGTGCCCAATCTTCCCCTGAGGAACAGGAGCAGGAGCGAGGAGGTAGAGGAGGTCAGGGCAGGAGTAGCAGCGAGGAGGTAGCGGAGCGAAGAAGAGTGCCCATGCTCCCCTGAGGAGCAGGGCAGGAGTAGCAGCGAGGAGGTAGCGGAGCGAAGAAGAGTGCCCCTGCTCCCCTGAGGAGCAGGAGCACGAGCGAGGCGGTAGCGGAGATCAGGGCATTGGCAGGCGCGCGGAGGTAGAGGAGCGAGGAGGCAGAGGGGCGAGGAAGAGTGCCCCTGCTCCCTGGAGGAGCAGGAGCAGGATCGAGGAGGTAGGGGAGGTCAGGGAAGGTGTATGGGCGCGGAGTTCACAGGAGCGAGGAGGTAGAGGGGCGAGGACACGTGCCCCCTCCTCCCCTGAGGAGCAGGAGCACGAAATAGGAGGCAGGGGAGGTCAGGGCAGGAGCAGGAACGCAGAGGTAGAGGAACGAGGAGGTACAGGAGCGAGGAAGGGCGCCCCTGCCCCCGTGAGGATCAGGAGCAGGAGCGAGCAGGTGGTGGAGCGAGGAGATTCCGGCACCACTACCCGCCCCTCGTTGTCATGGCTGGATTCGCGTCGGAGACTAGGTCGGAGTGCACCCCATGAGGAGCACGAGAGAGGGTGCCGAGGAGGAGGCGGGCACCGAGGAGGGCGAGGAGTAGGAGGAGGAGGAGGAGGAGGAGGAGGAGGAGGAGGAGGAGGAGGAGGAAACGGAGGAGGAGAGGAGGGGAGCGGAGGAGGAGGAGGAGGAGCAGGAGCAGGACGAGCAGGACGAGGAGGAGGAGGAGGAAAATACCGAGGAGGACGAGGAAGTGGATGAGGAGGAGGGTCAGGAGGAGGAGGAGGAGGAGAGGAGGAGGAGGAAGAGGCGGACGAGGAGGGGGAGGGAGACTTGGGTCCATAGCCATTATGGCTCCGGGGGCGCCCGTCGCCCCAGCGCCGCGAACCCGGCGCCCCAGCGCGCCCCAGCGCGCGGTGCGGCGGCTCGCCGCCGCCGCGCGCGGTGCACGCCGCGACGGCGTCTCTGCGCGGTGGCGCCGCGGCCAGGGGGGCGCCCCGGCGCGCGGGACGGCGGCCCGCGCGCCGCGACGGCCGCGCGGCAGTAGAAGAAGAGAAAAGGCCATAAACAGTAAGTGGGGCTTGTCCCTCTGCAGGAGGAATATTCCCCTATTTGTCCAAACATAGTTTGGGGACGGTTTTGTGAGGTTGAGCAGTTTTTGACTAGTTTTATAATTCGTCCAAAATTCCGCTGTAGGAAGACACGCCCGACCTAAACATACAACTTGTGGCGCTCCGCGCGGATTTCGCGGGTCTTTGCTGGAGCCCCCTGGCAGCGCCTCCAGCGCCGCCACGGGCGCGCTCCGCGCGCCAGGGAGGGGGTCCAGCGCAGGCCCGATAGAAATCTGCGTTTGTGGCGTTTCTTCTTCGTCTTCCACTGCCGGGCGGCGGCAGCGATGGGGGCGCAGCTGAACGTGTGCGCGGGGGGGGGCCGGCTGTCCTGCTGCAGGCAGGACGCCGAGCACGGCCAGGCAGACGACGCTGCGACGCTCGCGCACCGGGAGCTGAGCGGACAGATCGGCTGGACCAGCGACGTCTCGGGCACGGGTGCAGAACTTGTCCCGCCTAGGAGTGGGAGCCGCGGTTCGAGCTGTTTGTCGGTCGACGACGTGGTCCGATTCTTCAGCAGGGACGGCGCCGACGGCTTGCCGTGCAGCAGGGCAACAATTGCGGACCAGTCCAGCTCGTTGGCCAATCACAGCACGGAGGTCGGCGGCGCGGAGGTAGGCTGCGGCAGCGCCCACCTGTCGGACGCCTCCCTCGCTGGGCCGGCGGGCGCCTTGGCAAAGGTCCATATCGAGCGAGTCTACGACTTCTTCGATCCTTCCACGAGGACGATCCAGGTGCTGCCCACCCCCAACCACGCGCTGCACACGCGTGCCGAGGCGGCGGAGAAGGTCCAGAGCGCCCAGACGTTGTCGGTCCCGCTGGCGGCGCTCGACGGGTGGCGGTGGCGGTTCGTCGGGGACAGCTTCATGTCGAACGCGTCCACCGGCTCGCACGGCCCCATGCAGTCGCCGACGACGAGCTCCACGCAGGACTCGGCCAGGCCGAGCCAACAGGCTGCTGGCCCCAAGTCCAGCGTGCAGACCGTGGAGGTGGTCACGAGGTGGGGCGTGCTGGCCGGCAAGGTGCTAAACTTCCGGGTCCTGGCCATCACGACCACCATCAACAGTTTCATCACCAGGAAGCAGATGGAGGCCTCGAAGGGCATGGGCCTCTGGAAGCGGGTGGAGAGCCGGGCACGACGTATAGTTGACGGCGCCAGGCAGATGTGCCGAAGGGTGGCGGAGGACCCGGACTGCATGGACGGGAGCTGGAGGACCGACGAGGCCCACGATTCCGTGCTGTCGGAGCTGCTGACGCCAGAGTACCTGGACGTCCTCATCGTCCTGGCGAAGGCCGCCCAGAAGCTGCTGGCCGTGCAGCCAGTGCTGGCCGAGGCCTCCGCGCCCTGCCGCATCTTCGGCGACCTGCACGGGCAGCTGCGGGACGTCCTCTTGCTGTTCCACGCGTACGGGACGCCGGGCGACCCGGGTGGGCCATCCTTCTCGGCCAGACGTAACAGTGACCCTTCGCCCGAGTGACCTCTGGTGCGGACCCACGGGGGTCCCCCGACCACCGGACGCGAGGCGGCAGTTGCGGCTTGCGCGCCTGTGGTTGGCCCCCGGGCGGCCCCCAGCGAGCCGCGCACTGGAGGTCACTCTTTCCCAGGGTCACTGTTGCGTGTGGCCGACCTTCGTCTTCAACGGCGATTTCGTGGACCGCGGGGAGCACCAGCTGGAGACAATCGGGCTCCTGCTGGCGCTCAAGGTCGCATACCCCGAGCAGGTCTGGCTCGTGCGGGGCAACCACGAGGACCGGCCCATGAACGAGAGGTACGGCTTCCGGGACGAGTGCCTCCGCCACCTCGGGAAGGAGTTCGGTCAGAAGACGTACGACCTCGTGGAGGAGGCGTTCGATCAGCTTCCCATTGGCTGCCTGGTGGCGAAGCGCGTGCTGGTCGTGCACGGCGGCATCGGGGACGGGCGCTGGGACCTGAACCACCTGCGCGCGGTGCGCCGACCGATCAGGCCGCACGACCCCTCGATGCGGTGGGTGATGAACATCTTGTGGTCCGACCCGATAGAGGTGATGGGCCTGTTTCCCACCACCACCATGAGTTGGAGGGGGGAAGGAGGAGGAGGAGGAGGAGGAGGAGGAGGAGGAGGAGGAGGAGGAGGTCGAAGAGGAGGAGGACGAAGAGGAGGAGGACGAAGAGGAGGAGGAGGAGGAGGACCCCCTCCCCTCTGACTTACGTGGTGGTGGTGGAGAACAGGCCCATCAAGAGGACGACGCGGACGGCGAGCAGACGGCGCAGGCAACCTTCGGGGTGCACCAGTCGCCACGGCTGTCGGAGTCGAAGGCCACCCTCTTCGGCTGGGACGTCACCAAGACGTTCTGCGCGCGCAACGGCCTGGGCCTCGTCGTGCGCAGCCACCAGTCCAAGCCCGAGGGCCCGGGCTTCGACATCATGCACGACGACATGCTGGTCCGCGTCTTCTCCGCCCGCGACTACGAGGGCCACGCCAACGACGGCGCGGTGCTCCTCATCAGGGAGCGCGAGGAGGGCCCCATCGAGCGCGGCGCGGCGCCCGCTCTGGTGGTGCGACCGCAGGTGTAGGGCGGGTGGCAATGGAGGGTGACCCAAAGGGGGGGTGAAGACAAAGGCCCGAAAGAAGCTCTTGAGGGCCCCTTTGACACCAGCTGGCTCCAGGAGGGGCTCCAAGGGCCCCTTGAGGGCCCTTTTCTTCACCCTCCTCCTCCTCCTCCTCTCCTCCTCCTCCTCCTCCTCCTCCTCCTCCTCCTCCTCCCCTCCTCCTCCCTCCTCCTCCTCCTCCTCCTCCTCCTCCTCCTCCTCCTCCCTCCTCCTCCTCCCTCCTCCTCCTCCTTTTCTTCACCCCCCAGTGCAGTCGAGGCGGATTGGTAGGGCGACCCTGCCAAATCAAGGGTGCTCTTGCGTCCCGTGTTTGGCGGCCCATGCCTTCTGCATTTCTGTGGCAGTGTGGCCCTCGAAGGGTCTTGTGTCCTCTCGCGTGTCCTCTCCAAACAGCCTCGACTGTACTACCCGCCCGAAGGTGATCGTTTTTTTATCCAGCGTTTGCCAATCGGTATCGGCTCTCGCACCCCCCCCCCGCCCCATGGAGTAGATCTTGGCTGTTTCTCTGGCGCCTGTTTCCAGCGGGTGGAGCCTTCCCCAGAGGCTGCATTCTTGCGAACAGTCGCAGTAAGCAGAGGTCCAGAGCCAGATCCCCCCCCTCTCCCCCCCCCCCTTACCGCCCAATGTCGAGACGCCGAAAAAAAACGCTCACGCCCACCCGCTTGAATAAGGAACACCTACTTTTCAAAAGGGGCCCGGTCTTTCCCTAGGCTCGCCTGCGTGATCTGTCGTTCCTTGTGCGCCGCTGATTGTTCTCTGTCGTACCATCTGCGTTCCTCCCTGGGAGAGAGGAGCTTCGCGCCTCGTGTCTCGTTCCTTGTAGGTCAGGCCGGTGACTGCACCCGCCCGAAGGTGCTCCACTCCACGCTGCGGGCCCCGGACGCGGGCGGCAGCAGAGGGCCCGCCTCCAGGGCGGCGGGCCCGGGCCCCGCGGGCTCGGGGCCGGCCAGGGGCCCGCGGGCGGCGGGGGCGTCGTGAGCTCCTCGGGGGGCGCTCGCGGGCGCTCTCCTCGGCGGCCAAGCGGGGGGGGGAAGTGAGAAGGGGTCAGGGGCAACGACAGGGGGGGATGGGCATAGGGGGGGATGCGTCGACCCCCAATCGCCCATTGATCGCCGACAAGGGGCCCGATGGCCCCGACCTGCACAGCAAGGCGCGGATTCACGACGGGAGGCCTATCGCCGATCTATCGGCGATGTATCGCCGATTCCAGGCCGATGCATCCCCCCCTACGCCAGTCCCCCCCT